TTGACTTGAACTACTTAACATACAGATTCTATTCAGACCTAGTTTTGTATAAAAACGAATTTAGAAAAGCTCCCATTGATTATCTATCTATCTATCTATCTATCTATCTATCTATCTATCTATCTATCTATCTATCTATCTATCTATTTGTCATTCTGTCTCGTTCTTTCCATCTCCCTGTATCTAATCCTACCTTGCAAACACTAGTATTTCCTTCAGAAAAGCGAATGATTCGGCTGTTATGGGATTGGCATATGGACATTTGGCATTGCATGAGGAATGACCACCATTTAAGCAACATGTTTACAGTTAACCATCATTAAATGCATTAAATCAAAACTTCAGACCCTGGTGATCATTTAGACAGAGCATTATGATCAGTTTTAATATTTGGCTTTCCAATATGAAAACGAATAGGACTCTGTTACTCTGAATCAGTGCAGTGCCAGATGTTTGCAGGTGTGCTTTTTCTGTGGTGCTTATGCTTTTTACGTTTATGGCGGTTTGTCCATATGTGTGTGTCTCTGTATACAAATCAGATTTTGCTGTGGTGTGTTTGTGCGTCTGTGTGTGTGTGTGTGTGTGCGCATGTCCTGAGACGGGTGGCCAGGTGTCTCCTGCTTGCAGTGTGTGTCCTCTGCACTGCGTGCTACAGGTAATCCTCTGTTACCGTACGTACTTATGTATGAGAAACAACTGCACTTATGTACTATTACAAATCTAACTCTTCTCTTCTGGGTGCTGGTGTTGACATCAGGCTGATTCAACCATCTTGTTAGACCTTGTTAAACTCTGTTTAACTCCAGGTTTTCCATCTTTAATCATTTAACACACACACACAGGGGATATAATTCACACTCTCATACAGTATATGACTGTTGTAGCTACATACTGTTTTGGAGATCAAATGCAATGTGCTGTAAGATTATTCAAGTCTTACATCTGTAACAAATAAGGATGCAAAAGAAAGTATGTTTTGCTGATTGCTCAAAGGGGCTCTATGTAGAAATCAGAAACGCGACACCGGTGGCTGTTTAGTGAAATGCACTCGAACAAGAGACTGAACGTGATTTAATACTCGCGGCGAATGCTTTGACAAAACAAAGTTTAAAATACCTATACTTTTAACGAACATCCAGACTCTGTCCTTTTCTTTGCATGACACATTGATATGATATTACAGTACAGAATGGCTCTAGTCTTTTGGCATTATCCTGAAGAGAGACACTCGACTGAACGTCTTTTGATTTTCCCGGCAAAAACTTTCACATAAAAATCAGTCTACATGTTTTCATGGACAACCTAGGAATTCGGAAAAGGTCTCGTTTTTTTTGTTTCTTTACAAGCCGTTCACACATCGGCAATACCAGTCTATGGGCAATACCAATGCAATTAATAAATAAAAATCACATATAGCCCCTTTAAAGTTGTGTTTCTTATTCCTAGGAAAATATTCTAATAGTAATTTTTCTGTATTTTCTCCTCCTGTAGGTGATGAAACCTATCATGATATCTTCAGGGATTTCTCCCAAATGGCTTCCAACAACCCAGAGAAGCTGAAGCGCCGTAGCGCTGATATGAAGTAAACCACCTGACCACTAGGTGTCAATGTTGCACCAATATACACATATTGGCGCTCCAGTAGACGGAATGAAGTTACCACATACTATTGTTTTTCTATTTTTTTGCTGAAACGTCACCCGGCTGGCTCCCACAGTGAACACCTCGTATGAAACGCTGCTTCATTTGGTTTGTCTGGTGCACTTGATTGTGGGTCTAAACATCTGGGTTTTAGCATATTTATCCCAGTTTAGGCTTTAGGATGTCATCAATAATATTTGCTTATCTCTTTGGGCACAATCCTTATTCCTTTACCTTCGAGCTTCTGTATCCAGATCATTTATCATTTGAGCAAGTTTACATTCCCAATGTAATGAAAGCATCAAGTGGAACTCATAAAGCCAGAGTAGTGGTGAAGTGGATGCCTTTACGTTTCTCATTTAAATGGCTATTTGTCCCTCATTGAATTGATTTTCATTGGACAAGTTGCTATTCATTTCTTTTATTCACTATGTTGTGAGCCACAGTGTTAATCCAACTTGAATGTAAATGTTACGTTGGGTGAGAGATCAGTTTGCTTGGTTCTCCTGTATATTTTTAATTTCCATTTTCTCTTTTTATAAGACCAAAACAACACGTTTGAAATGATGTTTTGTGAGCATGCGATGCTCTAAGCAACACGTTTGAAATAAATTAACGTGAAAATGGTGGAATATGTAGCTAAATAAATAAATGATTCATGACTCATCGTGTGACTTGCATTTCTAAGCTTTGCTACTGGTTAACTAGGATGCAGAATTGTGCAATGAAATACCGTTAACACACTTGTCTTTCATAAATATAATCTTATAGAAAGAAACGTTAAAAAGTGACTCAAGACATTTATAATGTTACAAATTATTTATAATTTAAACAAATGCAATTTTTTTCTATTCATCAAAGAACCCTGAAATATTTATATTTATCTTAGTTTCCCCAAAAAAATGTTTCTTGAGCAGCAAATCGTCATGTTAGAATGATTTCTGAAGGATCATGTGACACTGAAGACTGGAGTAATGATCCTGAAACTTCAGCTTTGATCACAGGAATAAATTACATTTGAAAACATATTAAAATAGAAAACAGTTATTTAAAAGTGTAATAATATTTCACAATATGACTATATTTGATCAAACAAATGCAGCCCTGGTAAGCTTAAGAGACATTTTAATCAACCACATTAAAACACAAATCTGTCTACTCAACACAGATTTAATTGTTCCAATAAAACCCAACTGTCTTAACCGTCTATGGTCTTACCACACAGTGCTCTTCCTGGAAAATGAAAGCATAACAGGCACATGAATATCGGCTGTTAGTTACCCTGGTAACAGGTAAAACCACCTGATCGGCTCAGATTGGAAATTCCACTCAACCTTCCAATTAGATCAAAAGTCAACGAGCATTCTAAAGCTATAAAGTGCAAAGAACCAGATGATGTAATGTTTAATGTCATCGCCCTGCTTTGGCAAACCAATGCTACTACTAGACCAACTGTGATTGAACTGCATTGCTGACTTTATAATGCTACTGAACTGATCCAACCTCAAGAAGAGTTTCACTTCTCACGCTATGCCAGCAAACTGCAGTCTATAGGCTAAACTGTGTGTGTGTGTGTGTGTGTGTGTGTGTGGCCAATCTCGGCAATAGGAGCCTCTCGCATGAGAAAGCAAAGTCTGGCAGTGGCTGAGCTCATTGACTCTCAGTCTATGAAGATTAAGGCTCACGTGTTTGATTTTATGAAAAGTGTCTTTAAAACAGCATTACAGACTAGTATTCAAAGGGGTTTCCATGTGAGGTAGAGAACTAACAAGGTTGAAATTAATATACAATAGTAAATCTCTTGTATTATGTCAAATAAAATGTTTAAACAAAAAAAAAATGCTTTGAAGAACACAATTTGTAACACTTTGGTCAATGATTCATAAGTGAATTTGTTTTTAAGTCAGCGACCTCGGTGGATAAAGTATGTCAATATTCTGAGACCTTGAGCTTGAACATCACAGTGAAACCCTTCGCATTAGGCAAAATCCCCAACATAAAATATTTTAAAATATGCACAGCTTTAAAGATATCACTGAAATACACAAAAGATGCAATTTGACCCCGAAAAGACAACATAAATTGTCTCGGACAATGCAAAAGAACATCTTGCAAAACATATTTCTCCATATGCAACACAAGAACAAGAAAAGTCCAGCTGTAATCAAGTAAATGTAAGTAGTGTGTGTGAAAGAGTGAAAGATTGATGCTCTACCTCACAGGATTAGCATTGCTACGTTAGCATTAGCTTGCCTTCCTGTCTTTGTATACTATTACTAGCCTCTAGCATCAAACAAGGTAATGTGTTGCCTTTATCTTAGCTTTTGCTTGATGTGACAACATGTCTGACATGTGATGATGACCAAGCAGTTAAAAGCTTGGAATTGAGAAAGTTCTTGCTAGCAGCAAACATGTTTGACTAGCCTTGAATACAAAACGCAGCAACTGTGATTAATAAAAACCACAAACCTCATTTACTCCACGAAAAATCATTATCAGATTCCTGTCAGAGAGTGCCAGAGGTCAAACATGACTCCATAACTTACAATCCAAAAAATTATAATAAAAATAATAATTTATAAATAATCAGAATTTCTGCCAGCACACTTCTCCAAAATAAAACTTTAGCGTTATGGTGTCAGATAGTAATACCATTGTATTTAATATGCAGTCCCCTCCATAAATTCAGAAATGGCCAAGCAGAAGTGGACTTTTAGGACAATATCAGCACAAATTATTTTGTGATGATTTTGCATCGACTATAAAAAGATATTTTATTAAATACAAATTTTGACTTCTACAGAGCCCCAAAAGGGACATGGTGAGCGGGAAAAACATGAGATGGGAGGAAATATATATATATATATGTCAATGCTTTTGTGTCCTCTAGCAAAATTTTAGCGTTCCCCGACAAACTTTGCATTCGCTCGCAAAGAACGCCGCAAAACATTCGCCAGAGAAACCAAAATATTTAACCAAAATATATACTAACAAAAATAAACAATAAAAGTATCTCAATGACACTAAAATAACCCTGCACAGCTGCTGGTGTTTGTATATTGCCACTGTTATATAATCAAAAATAACAGCAATATTGCTCGTCTTCAATGTTAATTAAAGCTACTTTATTACATTTATGTCATGATGAAGATTTATGCTGATATTGTCCTATTGTATAACTTTGAGAGCATCTCCAAAAAACATGGTTTTACCATGGTGTATGTCTACTTGTTTATTAAAGGAATCATTAAATGAACAATATTTGTGACATTAAGACAGATTTGTATTTCACTTTTAAGTTTACAAGTTCGGCAGACTGCAGCTTTTCAAACTCTCAACATCTGAGAACATCCTTTGGATTGTCTTGTTACTATCCAAAAAGCAGTAGCAAATTTCACCTATATATATATATATATATATATATATATTATTTGGCATTGGGTAAATCACACTAATTTGTACTTATACCACATTTTGCAGTAAAACTTTTAGTGGATCATTTCATAACCATTTTGGCCTAGATTCAAATACAAACATTTGCGTATATCCTGTTTGAAATAATGCAAATATCCTTTCAAAAACTAGCTCTACCACCATTCGGTATTTTCTAACATCACAAAATCATAATGTTTCCTTTAATTTAGTCAGATGAATAATTTCCTGAGGTATTTCTTCTCGCTCTTGCTCTGGATATGTAACATCTCTCTTAGAACAGATCTTTAACTCTTTTTCTGAGTTCGAGGTAGTGGGTTTGAGTAGTCCATCTTCAATGGAGCAATCCTGAGACTTCTTCTTTGATGGCGATGGGGGTGGAGGGGCCGTACAAGACCAGAAATAGGGAAGAGTCATTGTAACCAACGTACCTAACACGAGGAAACTACCAGCAATGATAAAAGATGCTGTGTATGTTCCAGTGTAGTCCTTCAGCCAGCCTAGGAGGGGAAAAAAATGGAGATGGAACAATCATTTTAATGCTGATTGGGAATTTAAAAAGCTGTATCAATTTGGTCTAACCGATTATGCTTTTTTTTCATTTTCAACTGTCTTAAATGTGTAATGTTGCTGTTTGAGCATGAAAAAGGTCTGCAAAGTTACAAAGACAGTTCTTCTCTATATCAGTGTCACTGTTTCTGAATCCCTGAAACGCCTCTAATGTAGTCTTGAGATTTCTTCCAGGAACGAACACGTCACATACGCAAAATAAAGGGGCGGGACCTGGTTGAGTTAGTAGTGTGTTGAAACTCGCAGTTATGGTGAGGGACGTGACATTTCCCAAACACGCTCGAAATATGGTTGACCAATCACAACACACTGATCCAGTCGACCAATCAGAGCACATTGTGCTTTTCAGAAGGAGGGCCTTCATAGAGACGGGAACTAAACAGAGTGCTACAAAAGTCTCTTTAAGGCAAGTTAATCATCAATGAAATCTCACAACAACTGTTTCATAAATTTAGGTTCTAAATGCTCAAGTCATGACAAAATGCGCATGTGCATCCTTAAGCGCATCTCAGAACACTGACTGTTTCTAACAGCAGCTCCAGTGGCTTTACCAATTGGCAATTGGCTCTTTTATATAGAAGGCGGGACTTATTCTGCCATATTGTGGGTTGCACTTTTTTTTAATGCACATGTAAATTACATGTAAATTACTACATTTTATGTAGTAAATGTAGGTTCAAACAAAATATTAATTACTGCAATCTAATTGATTTAATTAAAGCTGCAGTCCAGCGTTTTTCCTCTTTATCGCCATCTCTGTTCGAAATCTGCAATTGCAGTCATTCGCGGAATTATCAACTTAACGTGAGTTGCACTTCAACACCCCTCGGCACTGCACAGCACGGATGAACAGTGTTTGAGGAGACTGTGAGGCTGTCAGTCACCGCGCCGCTGTGGATGCATTCAGAATCACAGATTATTCTTTTGGGAAGTATGACCAACATAAGAATTTTCACTGGAAAATGTCATCTGAACAAGTAAGCAACATCCACTTTTGTTCTGGTTCTGACATTGCAGTAAATCGTGCTGATTAAGTCTTAAGGCCTGTTCACACCGGGACGAATTTCGCGCGCGATATTCGCTGACGTTTAACGCCTCGTGACTAAACAAAGGGCGCCAATGTGAGTGTGCACACCGACACGAAAAACGGCACGCGTAAAAGCGTCATTTTTAAAAAAAAACGCCTCGGGTTCGTTTTTTTAGTTTGACGCGCCGCGTCAAAACTATACGACCAATGAGATTGGCGCTTTTGCTCACATGTCTGGAGCTTCTGAAGTTACAGTAAAACACAACTTGGGGGCGCTCAAACACAAAACGGTCTTGCCGAGCACACATACGTAACGGCGAAGAAGATATACGCCAAGCGTCTACACTGCCGGGAAGAAATAAGACGAGGAAGATGCAAGGCAAGATGAATGTAGAGCCGCTGGTCTCGTTGGTGTCGGAACATAAAGAGCTATATGACAAACGCGACAGCGACTACAAAAATCTTGATAAAAGAGAACTGTTATGGAGTGGTATTGCAGAGCAAATGGGCGCCATCTAATGTCAGGGAATGAATTTGCATGTTCACTCGGCTCATCGTCAGCGAAAATTGCTTGGGTGTGAACACAAAAAACGTGTTGAAAAACGCTGGTGAATAACGCACGCCGATATTCGTCCTTCGTGTACGAGCCTTAACAATCGCTTATAAGTTATCATATCACGCAAAACCGTGCAAATTATACTTTGTTCTCAAATTGTTAATGTTAACAACGTAAGCATTGCGTGACTACATGTAATGTCCTTCCGATATGTATCCTTGTTTTAGCATGGGCCGGTTGTTGCAGTCTCTAATTTCTGTAGCCACTCCGAAGTCCGAACGAAGTCTTTTGCATTTTACAGCGGGTGAATCTGTTGTCACTGGTGATTGTCGTTTGAACCTTTCTGGATCCACCATCAAATTGATAAGTTTAATTATATCAAGTGCTGTGAGAAAAGGCTATAAATCTCCACCTCCAGCATCCTCACACGCAATATAGCCTACTAGCCGAGACTCCTTCTTTATGTGTACAGATGTGTGTGTACAGATGTGACGTAATGACGCAAAGACATGCTCGAATCTCCCGCGGAAATCCACCAGTACCACTGGAGTTAAAAACATTATTACAAGCTTACCCCCTTTGAATCGAGCTAAGGCAACACTGAACACTGGCTAGTAATGTATTTTCTCAAATATGTATTTTGGATATTTTTAACCCAAAAAAAGCTACGGACTGCAGCTTTAATGTTTAACTAATTAGAATGAATATTTTAAAATTAATTTTAAAAAATAGGTTTGGATGAACGATTCAACGACTCCGTTGAATAAAGATTTCACTTTTTGAACGGATCTCTTGAATGAATGATTCAATGACAAATACATTTTTAACAGTCACTTATCGGCACCCAGTGGCATAACAATGTAACCGATACAATCGTATTTTGAAGCTCCATGATACTTTCAAAAGGGGATTTGCTCTATTTTGATCGCTACCACAGACATTGATGTTTATAACCGAACAATAAACTTTTATGTGATAATATGAATATTTGTAACAGATACTGTGTGGTTGAAAAGACTGTTTGTGAAGCTGTTTCACACTTATACATGACAACTGCTCTCTCTGGGTTTCCACTCTCTGCTCTCTCTCAGATTTGACAACGTTTAATAAACACGGGTTAATCGTTGTCATTTAGGAATAAGATCCCGTGGGTGTTTGAATCGAGATCGCGATCTTTACTGATCAATCATGCAGCTCTAGAAGAGAAGTGCTACAACAAACATTAAAGGCAAAATAAGGTCCTCTTTAAATAAAAGGATTGTGATCATCTTATGAGCTCCTACCAGACAGTGGTGCTCCCAGCAGCCCTCCAACGCTCTCAATGAGCTGCAGGAGACCGAGGGCTCCCAGCACTCGCTCGATGCCTACGATCTCCGGCACCACCGCGAAGGCCAGCGGCGTCATCGCCCCTGCGCAGAAGCCATAGGCCACACTGACAACGAGCAGTCCTGAGTAACTCACAGCAGCGGGAATGAGCATCAGAAACAGGCCCAGTAACCCAGTCCACAGCACCAGCATGTGGGGCATCCGCATTCTGCCCAGATCCGAGGCCCAACCGGAGGCTACGCGGCCCACGATATCCGCCACACCGGTTACAGAGATTACAAAGGCCGCCTGGTACTCAGTGAAATCAATGTTACGGCTGTGGGCCACCAGATGAACGTAGGGGATGAAGTAGCCCGCATTGAAAAGGGTGATGGCCGCGGCGTAAGTGAGGAAGCCTCGGTGTGACAGCAGGGAGAGCTCAAAACACTCGTAGATACGGGAGGGGGAAAAAGAGCATCTGTTGAGGTTGGTCGAGTTTTCAGTCTGAGAAAAGGACAAAAAGAAATTATTAATCACTGTAATATTAATATTAGGGGTGTAACGGTACATGTTTTAGTCCCCGAAACGTCACGGTTTGGTGAATACAGTCAGTCACAGGTGATCCACACTCCAGTCCAGAGGGGGGCGCGTGCGGTAATGCAACGGTGTTTGCTATCCGCCATAACAGGAAAAAGAGCAGAAGAAGAGATGATCTACTCACCAATGCAAAGCAAGAGTTCAGATGCATGCAAGAGCTTGCTAGTAGCCTATACGCTGAGTTTCGATTCACTTTGGTGACGCGCTCCACGAACCTCACGGAAAGGAAACCGGGACGGCAGAAAGCGACATCCTGTTTGTTTTCTTTATTATACAAAAACCAATGTTTTGCTTTTATTGTGAGTGAACAAAAATAAAAAATAGACCATACAGCTTCAAATTATGTCTTACTCTTATCTATGACCATAAATGACAGAGTATTTTAAGTTGTTTTCGCTGTTATAATGAGACAAAATCATTTGGCAATGTGATTTGTGCCGTGGGGGGTGGGGGGATTTAGTTGGGCGGACATGTAAATGCACCGAACTCGTATCGAACCGTGAGCCCAAAACCGAGGTACGTTCCGAACCGTGACTACTGTGTACCATTACACCCCTAATAAATAAAAATAATTTATTTTAAATAAAAAATTTATATAATTACATAATTCTAATGTTTCAATTATGAATTGTTCAATTTATCAATATATTAATGTAATTATATATCAGAACACATACCTTTTCCACAACTTTTGGATTCCCCAGAGGTCGAATGAGAGCTCCACAAGCGATCATGTTGAAGCTGAAGCCCCCGAGGATAAGCAACGCCCCACGCCAAGCGTAAACTTCCACTAGATATTGAAAAAGCGGGGAGAAGGCGAAAGAGGCCAGACCAACGCCTGTGAAGCCCAGGCCCATGGCTAGAGATCTCCGCATGGTGAAATACTGCATCACTGACGCAACAGTAGGGGTGAAGACCAGTGCCCAGCCTAAACCTGACAAAGAAAAACAACACCAATCAGGATCCTGGAATTGGCTAATATTAAGGACACTGTTTACAAGAGCATCAACCTGAAATGAATCCCATGGTCATGTAAAGATGCAAAAGAGATGTTGCCTGGGAAGCCAGAATGAATCCCAGGCCTGAGAGGAATCCTCCCATCATAACAACTGGACGAGCTCCATACACATTACATGCGGCTGCAGCTATTGGACCTGTGTGTGGACATGCGCAGTTAACATGTGCCAAGACAAAATGTGGTTTTACCATATTGTGTTGGTTGATAAAGACATGTGTCATGATGAATGAATTTGTGCATATGAACTTACTCATTAGCTGTTGCATGGCCAACCCAATGGATGTTATCCAAGACACTGCCTGAGCACTCTCATCGAAGTACTGCACAAACTCCACGAAGAAGACGCCTAGACTGCGGATGATCCCAAACACCAGGGCAGATGTCACGAAAAGAGACCCCACCACCACCCAGCCCCAACCCCCATCAGGTGCCGCCATCTGCGGGGACGACTGCTGCGTTTCCTGCCTCTCTTGGGGCTTTTCCATCTTTGCACTGAAGAGACAGATTAAAGAGACCATGATTTGAAAGTCTAGATGTTGTTTTTGGGCTCTACTAGAAGAGGTTTTCATGCTTGAATGTTCAAAAAACACATTATTTTTCACATATTTCACAGTTGCAGCACCTCTCTTCCCAGTCTGTCAGTATCGCTCTGTTTAGTTCCTGTCTCTATGAAGCCCCTCCTTCTGAAAAACGCAGTGTGCTCTGATTGGTCGGCTGGATCAGTGCGTTGTGATTGGTCAACCGCTTCAAGCATGTTTTGGAAATGTCACGCACCTTCCCATAATGCAAGTTTCAACACACTACTAACGCAACTCAACTATGCCCTGCCTTGTGTATGCCTTGTGTATGAAATGTTAGATCTAAATATGAAAATGAGGCAATTTAAATATGCACTAATTTGCATACATTTCCAGAAGAAAAAAATCTGAACACTGAATTAAGCCAGGTTAAAAACATTGTTTAAATTTTATTGACGTATTAGAAATAAAGGATTTTTCTTTTTATCACTCCATAAATCTGAAAATACTCAAAAGCCAGCAAATAATAAAATGGAATAAAATGTTGTATAAAATCAGGCGAATTACATATGTAAACCCCTCAGTAAAAGCCTTCAGAATATAGATATGAATAAAACTGTAAAGTTTGGTGTATGTAAAGGTGCTGAAATGGAGATCAGTGCAGGAGAAAAAAAATAATTTTGAGAAAACGGCCTTTAAAGATATTTATTGTAATTGAAATCTACAGAAGCAAATAGATGAAGCAACACTTAAAAGTGTACTTTGGATGTTTTCTTTCCACTAGTTTGAAACAACACCTCATGAAAACCCAAATAGCCCAAAATTCACAGATAAAAAAAATAAAAAAATTAAAAACAGTTTAACCTTTAAAAATTTTGACATCTACTACACAGGGTTGTGTTTCCTGGCAAATAATCGGTCTCTAACATACGGTTCATGGTCTCTTTAACATTTCCCAGAAACTAAACCTGCCTGTTCACTGATAAACACCGCTTTACAGTCTAAAACCAAGATGTTTTATATTCATTTATCAGTCAGGTGTCAGTTCTTGTCCTGGTTTGCCCTATACTTGTGTGGATGTCTAATAAACACATACACACAAGTATAGATTACTGCTATTTCGAACAAGTCAAGTTTTGAATGTAGTCCCGAAATAAAAATGTTGATCATGAGATGGACTCTGAACTGTCAGTGATTTCAAAATCTGATCTAATCCAAATCTGATCGCTTTTAAATTAAATTGAGATTAAATTGATAGATTAAATTGAGCTTATTTTAATATTAAAACATTGGTAGAAAAACAAAATGTCCTACCAACTTAAAATACATTAAAATATTTGCTGTTCATAAAATAGTGATCATTCTGTATATACAAAATAAAATACTATTATTAAAAGTGAGTAAATAATGAAATTAAATAGATTCTAGGTTACAAATATCAAAAAAGCACATCTTGTTATTATTATTATTATTATACTAAACTTGAATTATACTGTAAAAAATACTTTCATATTACATATACATATTACATAAGTATTTTATGTGTGTATAACTAACCAGTTAGATCATTTTTAGGTATTTTTTCCATTACATTGCAGGTCGATATAGGCTTGAATTTTAATTCTGGCCTTTATGGTATTTTTGCCATAATTTTTCTACATCTTGTAGTGTACTGTGAAAGAACAAATATTATTTTGCAGGGTCAGTTTCCACCCCTATGCACTTGATTTATGCAGTTAATGATATCCAGAAAGCACGGTGACCAATGGTTGATATGATGGTAATATATATATTTTTTTTATTAAAATAATTTTATTTTAGCATCACGTTTTATTAAAATGACTAAAATGTTTACAGTTAACACTTTTTTTGCAACCAAACATGAAACTCCATTTCAAATGTTCAATGTGCCCGTGCAGGAGCATAAATATTGCACAATAAAAAAGGAACTGCAAACATAATCATTAAAAAAAAAGCATAAATTAGTGTCAGGCTGTTTTGTGACGATTATTACGTAACGCCATTATGCGTTTATATCCACGTTTATATCAAATTATTTTGAGAGACTGCTCACTGCAGAGCCATGGGTGGAGTGTGAAGTATGTCCAACTACAACTTAACCCTACTCATAACTCTACCCATGTATGACATCACTTTGTAGGCCAAAACGCGTAGGCAAGTTAGCATTTCAGCGCTTCCGGTTCCATCGTCAATGGGTTTTTTGAATGGGGTTTTGGTTAAATGGCTGAAATGAGGTCTGTGGTGAAAACAAGTTCAAGACACTTTCACGTTTTATTCCACAACATAAAATACATCAATATTACGGTACCCCACTCGTGATTTTTTAAAGCTGTTATGTGTCTTGAAAAGCGGTTGCTAACAAGTGGCTAAATGGGACTACAGAGGCAGTTGAGAAGATTAAACGTCATTACGCCGAACAGGTAAACACATTTTGGTTATAATTGTGCTCTTATAAACTATTCTAACTCACACGTTCTAGGAAAATGTTTTTTGATAAAACTGAGAGAATTGTCGGAAGCTTAGTGATGGTGACGTTGAGTTCGTGAGACGGTGGTGTAGTTAGTTTATACCGGTAGTCTGCCTTTAGCTTTTTACTTCTGACTGCATTTAGGCTTCAAAAAGTTGTTCATCTGTAAAAAAAAAAAAAAAAAATCGTGAAATCATTAACTTTTGTTGATCACAGAGCTTGTTTTTAGCAATAATTCAAAAGCCTATGGGGAAATCCTATTGGGTTTTTGTTGAAGGAACAGGTGATGCTAACAGCAGGTTGGCCTACAAAGTGACGTCATCCCTGCACTTGAATATTTTTATTTTACAGATGTTTATAATGTACTATAAAATTTGAGGACCTGTGAAATATTGTCAGATGTTAATTTGTGCTCGTGTACATTTATGATGAGAAACATTATGAAAAAAATATGTGAAAAATATGTAAATTAAAATGATTTTAATCATTAATCGTTGCTTGATGTTAAATCTAAGTTTTAAAATACCGGTCTACAGGTAGGCCTACATACTCGATCTCCGGATGTATAACATTTATTATTAGATAATGTAAAAAAATAAATAAAAAATCTGCTCACACGTGAAGACACGCCCAATGCAAATCAAACAACCATATGGTTTATAAATATTAATTAGGTAACGCACCAATACATAATATTCAGGAAATCACTCTTGTTGTGCAGTGACGTAGCTCACCCATTCAATCCTGTGTCGCTAGCATTGTTAATATTTAGCACACGGGATTTTACAGTGTCATTGACACGATTTATTCATGATTTGATGCCCTTAATATCGATCAATACAAACGCAAACAGATTAACTTGATCTTGCAGACCAAATGTGTTATTAATTACAGTAATTACAGTTTAGGTATATATTTGTATTGTGGACGTACCACACAAACATTATTTGGCAGTAGTAGATGTGTCACAATCGGTTACAATGAAACACTAAACATTTTAGACAAACAGCGTGTAACATTGCTGCTTACTGAATGACATATAAGTTAATATACAATCATTTGTTAGAGTAAAATATCGTAAAATGGTATCCGTTTCAAAATGCGATTGTTTCAGGTGAATGTGTCCAGAACAGATCAGTCGTTACTTACCCATAACCCAATCACCCCTTTTCCTTTCGAGTCATGATGATTAGGTCAAATCATAAACATCTTCTTTTTAAATGCATAGACAACCGGTAAATATTGGTAAGCACATGTCGATGGTGGTTTCCGACTTATTCATTAATTCACCTGCTGCTTGACAACATGCAGGTTTAGTTTCAGCGAAGCTCCGCCTCCAGAGCGCGCTCACGAGCTAGCAGAAAGTTTAAAAAATATTCAAGAACATAGTCTACATCGATCACTTTATGAACTACACGTGCAATGTTAGGTTCCAGTAAGTCGACCATAACAGCACATTCAGTATTCTGTCATGCATTTAACTGTTACTGTTAAAGATTAACGCTCTCTATGCCTGGTATGAACTAAAGGCCCTCTAGCGATAGTTTCAGTTAATGGTTAGAGCTATTATATCAGTTAAACACTTTAAAAATGCTAAAAAGAACAATTAAAACAGCCCAGAGTTGTTTACGTGGGGGGGACAAAATGTGAATGTAGAGTAAAATCTATATTTTAACAATAGTAAAAGTGTGTATTTGTATTATATCATATATATATATATATATATATATATATATATATATATGTGTGTGTGTATGTATGTGTGTGTGTGTGTGTGTGTGTGTGTGTATGCATAGGCCTACTGTGTAAATACATATATGAATCATACAAAATGCATGTTTTTTTTATTTAATACTGTCCTGAATTAGATGTATATAGTTATATATTCTCCAAGACAAAAAAATTATAGAGTTTTTGAATTTATAAAAATGAGCCCGTTAACGTACTTGATTCTTAAATACTGTGTGTCGTTACCTGGATGATCCACGGCTGTTTTTGTTGTTGTTCTTGTCGTTTTTGTTATGTTTGTTGTTGAGTCCCTTGTTTGTCCTGAGCCCAATGTTCTTCAGAAAAATCCTCCAGATCCTGCAAATTCTACCAGTTTTCCTGCATCTTTTGCATATTTTTTGCATATGTTTTGCATATGTTTTCCAAAACTGTATGACTGTATGATTTTAAGATCCATCTTTTCACACTGAGGACAATTGAGAGACTCAAACACAACTATTAAAAAAGGTTCAAACATTCACTGATGCTCCAGAAGGAAACACCATGCATTAAGAGCCGGGGGGTGGAAACTTTTTGAATTTGAAGATCAAGGTAAATTGTTCTTAATTTGTCTTCTGAGAAACATGCGAGCATCTTCTGTTGCTTCCGAATGACAGTACTAAATAATAAAAATTGATATTTATACAAAATAAGATTTTTTTTTACATCTTCATCCTGTTCAAAAGTTTTCACCCCCCCTCCTCTTAATGCATCATGTTTCCTTCTAGAGCATCAGTGAATGTTTGACCCTTATAGTTATAGTTCACCCAAAAATGAAAACTCTGTCACACCTCAAGCGAACATGCTTTTACTACATCTGATGTGTGAGTTGATCAATGTTTATATGTAAACAAAAGCCTACATTAAATCTGTTCATCATATAAACCAATCGAGTCTCTTCAGAAAAACACTGGACTAAACCGCTCAATTCATAGCATATAATGGATTAGTTTTACGACTTCTTTATGAATTTTTTGAAGCGTCAAAGTGGTCGTTGCGAAATCTCTCAGATTTCATCAAAAAGATCTTCATTTGTGTTTTGAAAATGAATGAAAGTCTTACGGGTTTAGAACGACATGAAATTAATAATTCAACAAGTAATTAATGACAGAATTTTCATTTTTGGGAGAACTATCCCTTTAAGTGGTAAAACTTTCATACACAACTACACATATGGACGGACAGGTAGTGTGTGTGTGTGTGTGTGTGCATGGCCGGTTTTTGTTTAAGGCCGGAAACAGGTGCCAGTCGCTCCATTGTTCGTATTTCAGCAGCACCCGTAGAGAAGCTGAGGCGCTTTAGGGTGAGTCGAGGGGTCACAGTTGTGAGCTAATCGAAGGAAGGAAAGGCTAAGAGGTGAATTCTTTGTTCTTCTAGGCAAGTTAGATTTGAACGTGTAGTGAAACATTTCTATATGCTGCTTACTAAGTTGACTACTTTATAATTGTGAGACTCTCCCACTGTTCATGTGATTGTGAAGAAGCAGGATTGTATGAGAACAGCAGACACACACACAATAACAAGAAATTAATTTAACTTTAATTTATATAAAATAGGTCTTGTCTTTGTCCAGCAAAAGAGCGCAATTCAATTTTGTTTATATCATTATCCTCATCATCATCACTCTTCTTTACATGTATATTAGTTTGACTAGTGAGTCCTCAACCTGCTTGGACTCTCGGAAACTATAATACATCATGAAAATCTTGAAATGGCCTCTTAAACACAAGTATCATTAAAAAAAGATACATTGAGAGTCTAATTCTCTACAAATTTTCATCTTGTTACTTAAACACAAATAGGCTCCAGGCCTTTTAAATTAGTACATTACAATACTAAATAACTGGTAAATATTAAGCAACTAAGAGGTTATATTTGAGTTTGACATTCTGGTGATTGGACCAGAATGGATTCAAATAAGAACACTATTTTGGGCAGAACAATTAATAAAGAAATAATAATAAATAAACAGATATTAAAATGACAGCATATTGATTAATAAAAAATCATAACAAGTCATTTTTCTCTTCTTTCTCAAACATGCTTCATTCCTTTCTTTCTCAAACATGCTTAATTGCACTTCTGTTCTTCTTTACCCGTCTTCCCTTCATAATCTTTCCTACAATCTTGCAGAATCCAACTTTTAATATCAACTCATTTTTACCTTCATTCAGCCCTTACATCTCCAATCTGAACTCCTAATAAACATCTTCACACTCTGCCACAAACCATCTTTAAATCACAACAGCAAAAATAATCTTCCATATCCTTCCCTATGTAACGTTAGCGTTCGGCTACTGAAGCATTATCAATTCACCTGATTCATTTTACTGTCTTAGGGCTCGTTTCACACCAAGGACGATAACTAGCCTACTATAACGATATAGATAAACATATAGTTCAAAAAAATGTTCTAAATATAAAATATAACAGCTATAACGATAACAACACAGTGCCACGAGGTCGTCGTTGGAAGAAGCTGATGATGAGCAGCAGCAATAAAAACATTGACAGCCAATCAGAATCCATCCTGCTTTCGAGCAGAGCTCGAGCATTTAAAGCGACAGACGACAAAACTGCAGAATAAACAGAACGATATTGTGCGCTGGTTTAAACGCTAAAATAGGTTTCGTTATAGTTATCTTTATAGTTATTGCTCTTGGTGTGAACAAACCTTTAATCCCTATTCGGATGGCAATTGTTTCTCATGGGTATGTCTGGAAAAATAAATATGCATGGCTCCTCGGTGATAAAGCGTGAGCATTCAAATGGTTTAAATGCTTTTCTGTCTTGCGTTTTATCTTTCCAAATGATGGATTTTTTTGTTTTGTTTATACCAATGTGAAAATTAGCAGTTAAACAAATGTTAACACAACCTCTTATTTACATAAGGTTAACATTTGACCTGGATACTTTGCCGACTAGTAAAATGATTAGTCATGCTAATACACAACTCATTTAGTGTTTCCCCCGAGAAACGATGACAATCTGAACAGGGCTACATACTTACTTTTTGACAATGATATGCACCATTTCCCCTGCCAATATGACGACAAAATACGTGTTGCAACAGCATAAAATATGATTAAATAGCATGAGGAAGCTGAAAGTATGCAAAGCAAAATAAATAATAATATTTCAACAAATAATAAAGGTAACAGTCAGCACATCTAGTGCAGGAGTGCTGCATTCTTGGAAGACTACATTCATTGGTATATTTGAGTCAAGCTGTCCTCGAATGCAGCACTCCACCTCTTTAAACTCTTTACAATACTGTTTCATGGATCTGTCAATCTTCAGCCTAAACGTTTGGATCTTCAGAGTGAGCATACAGCCACGGTGCCTGCGATGTTGACCGTGTCCCTCAGCCAGCTTGCAGCAGGGTGGGTCCAGGTTGGTACGGGTCGGTCAGAACCTTGTAGCGGATCTTGGTGTTGGTGATCGCGCCGTGCTTCTGTCTCAGATGGAGCCTCAGCTGGCTCTTATGACGGAAGTGCAGGTGACATTTCTCACACTGGAAGAAAAGATTAGAACAGAGAGTGAGATTTCAGCATACCGTAATTTAAAGTTGTAGTTCATAAATAATAATAAATAAATATATATCATAATAAAATATACATATTATACCGGCCTGCATCATTTGCTGAATTAAATTCAACCTACTTGTCTCTTAATCATTTTGTTAGGCTGATTCCAAAAGTAGTGTCTGTTTTGCTCTAGCATTACACACACTCTCAAAAAATATGATATGCAATTCATTTTGGTGAAGAAGACTTAAATTATCCCTTAATCACCAGAGGTCAGTTGCATAAACATAGCCATTGTGTTAAGACTGTGTCTCAAGAACTAGGACTAACTAGCAGTAATCAATCTTACTTTTCGGTATCAAATTAAAAGTTATGAACAGTTTTAAAGTAAAAAAAATGTATGACTTGTAAGACTACCCTCAGCAGTTCATGCAACCGGCCACAGAGCTGCCACAAAGACACGCTACGACTATCAGTTCAATTCTATCGGTTTCACAAGTATGCATTCCTTTATGCATAATCCTCGATTTCAAGGTTAGAATTATGGCCAGTGACAGATGTTGTCTGCTAAATCTGTGAGAGTTTTACAACATCCAAACAGCGACAGAAAATTGCGAATTTATTTTGAATGTTTTTCCATTCCTTTGCAAATTGTAAGTTAAAGTCATCATCAAAATTAAAATTAAAATCAAAATTGCTAATTCTTGTTTTTATGGAAGATTGCAGTATTTATTGCATTCATTCATGTTCCCTCGTAATCTTTAATCAAAATATCTTCCCCTCCCTCTTGCAGCGACATCTCTTCTCTGATGATGTGTTTACTGGCACGAGGGCGGGGCAACCTGTCACTCACATGAGATCCACCAATAGCAAACCACAATCCAATCAATTCACGATTGACAAAATCAAGTCCCTCCCTACATTTTTTCTTGTTCGAAAAGCTGTTTCACTCTGATATACTCCACAATAGGGAAGAAAAATCAATATATATCTAAAATTTAAAAAATCTTTAGTCTTATTTTGTGAAGAAA